ATTGCGACACGTTTGCTTTCTCACGCGTTAGTTATTTTGCTTGTTAAATTTTAATTTTGAGGAAAGTAGACTCTCATTACCTAAATATGCGACCCAGTGTAATGCCGTGTTTAATGATTAAATTTAATTGCAAGTTTTGTCTAAGGCACTTTGGAACACCAGGAAGAAATGCAAATGCCTCTGTGTAAGTACTAGGCCCTTAGGAAGACTGGATCTTAGGGCAGAAAAAGAAGAATTTGTAATTGTATGTATTTGAACTGTTTTAAAAAGTAGTATAAACAGAAAAGTAAATGATTTGTAATTAAAAATTACTGAATTGGCACAAATTGTGGCTGTTTTAAGGAAACTGGCAGGAGTCCAGATTTTACAATATTGTAAGAGATGATTTCTTTTCACCTCAGAACTGTAGAAAAAACCCATGGAAATTACATGAAATTAGATCATGGAGCATGGATATCAGCACATGGAAGAAAAAAATTCACAGTAGCTGTAATTTGTACCTAGGATAAGGTGCAGTGAGGTCTGTCGTGCAGACAGGGTGCGTATCAGCATCATCATAAAACCTGGCTTGGGGAGGGGGTCAGGGGAGGGCTGGCTGCTCGAGTTGCTTTGAAGTTTTATAAAGTGCTGGTTTTTACCCCTATGGCAGCAAAACTGTAATCGGATGGAAACCTCTCCTGCCCCCTGCCGCTCCGCGTCGGCTGGCCTGCGGCAAGGTGACTCCTGGTTGTTCATCTCCAGTGCTCAGGTATATGATAGATGGTTTACAGTGCCAGTAGCAATAAGGAAAAAAAAAAGGGTTTGAATCCAATTTATGATCTGGAAGAAAATAAGAAGCGTCTGCTGGGCGCTGCTGCCGATGCTTTTGCCCGTTCTTGAAGCTAAATCCTTCCAAACTGACCGACTGGTAATTGTGCGCTCTAAAAAACCCAGCATTCTTAGTGTGCATTAAGCAATATAACAGAGTAAAACTGATTTAGAATAGGTTAGTTACTATTTGTAAGTGTCTGTCTCCCATCCATGCAAAACAAATAAAAACTGCAGCTCTTACTAACACCGCGTCTGTAAAGGTTTTGGCTGAAGTGTTAAAGTCCGCTTTACTTATTTATTTTTTTATTTTTATTTATTTATTATTAAGAATCGGGGTGCATTCATGTACGCATACGGGGCACTAAACTGGAAATGAAATGGTATGAACACCTACATAAAATAAAACTGTTTTGAAAGGTTCAACTCGGCATCGAGAGTGTCAGGTCTTTGCTTTGATGCAGGTGCCTCTCCGTCCCCCAAGCCGTTGTCCCCTCTCACCGGCAGAACTTCGTTTAAACTGATGCATCCCTACTAAATGGTTTGGTTTTGAAGAAACGATGCTTTTTAATTCTGCCGGAGATGTTTCATCTCTCCCTGC